TATGAAACTATAATATACTGAAAAAAATTATTACTTAAAAAGATATTGAGTGACTAACAATCACCTTGTATTTCTGGGGTTTGAGTTTAAAAGGGTCAATGTACAAAAATTAAGCAATAAATTCTATTTTTTATATCACTACTGTAGAATAATAATAAATGGTTGCAATATGATTTAAAGTTTTCTTTAAGGAAAAATAATATTTCTTTCTAAAAAAACTTACTTAAATCACATTGCCAATATATTTAGTTTTTCTACATTTTTATACATTGACTCTTTTAAACCCAAGCTCCAAATATATTTGCTCTAGCTTAGCTAACTTTTTATTAACTTTTCCTAATTTTATTTAATTTCTTTATTATTTATAATATAATTTTATTTTCAGTGTTCACAATCCAGAACTTCGTTGGATGAAAACTTCTAGTCGAGACATTCCCTCCATAACTAGAGTGACTGTTACATCAGAAGATATACTCACTTGTAACCAATGTTCTAAAGTATTTGTTAGTCTTGATGAATTATCAGCACATGAGCATACCCATGGAGATGAACAGTTCACATGTGAGAAATGTAACAAGAGTTTCAACTCTAAACCTGAACTTACAGTACATATTAGAAGTAATTGTTGTAGCAGTTTAGAATTAGAAGTAAATGCAGATAGACAGTGTCCTTTTTGTGGCAAACAGTTCCGATCAGCTGCTACTCTAGAAAACCACAAGCGAGTGCATACCAGAGAAAAACCATTTTCTTGTGAGTTGTGCTCCAAACCTTTTCGCACAAAAGGCAATTTATTGGAACATAAACGAGTGCATAATAATAGCATGTGGTTAATGAAAAGTGATACAAAACTAACTGAAAATGAACAGAAATTCAAGTGCACTTATTGTGAAAAACCTTTTCGTACGTATACTGCCTTGTTGAACCATGAACGGGTCCACACTAGAGAAAAGCCTTTTGAATGTTCTGTTTGTGGAAAATGTTTTAGAACAAAATCCAACATGACAGAACATATGAAAGGCTGCCATGATGTTGATTTTACAACTTGTGCATCTGATGAGGTTCAAGTTTTCACATTTAAAACTAATTCAGTTTCTTGAATGGAAACTGAATGTATAATAAAAATATATATTAATTCAAAATTTAAAATGAAGAATACACAAATGGACACGTTACGACCAGAGTACTTATAAGGATAACATTTACAAATTAAAAATAGTCATATGTATAGTAATTTTTAATTTGGTATATTTAAGTATTATTAATTTACAATTTGAACAACCAATACACTTATATTTTAATTATTAGTGAACTGTTTGAAAATAATTATTAGTATTAATTCGACATTGTTTGGTTAAAAAGAAAAACAAACTATAATTTATGTACAATTTTTGTTTTTTTTTATTAAGCTATAATTTTTTTTTAATTACAATCATAATTATTACTATACTATTTACATTTATAATTAAATAACTCCAAATATCGTTGAAAATTGCACGATTTTAATATTTTTTAATTCAATGTTGTTATGTTGTTCTACTTGACAGCCTGGCGTCACTGCAAACGTGGCCAGTATTGGGCAGATAAGTCTGTTGTATGTCCTGGAACAGCTATTGGTACTGATACACCGGGCGATATAAGACCTTAAATAAACAATAAATACGTACAATTCAATTTCAACTAACATATTAATCTATACTAATTGATATGAGTATTATTTATTTTTTAATGTTTAGTGTCAGTATAAGCTTGACTTTTAGTTCAAACTAATTGACTGATTTCCTTATAAATAATTAGTTCAGTAACGAAACAAAGATTTGTTCAACATAAAATTTTAACTAACGAGTTTAATTTCCAAAATCCAAGTCTGAAACTAGTAACTACATCTATTTTTTTTTTTTAACATGATCATTTACACGTAATTGAAAAATAATCCTCTTATGTTTAAGTTTAAATTTAAAAACATATAAGGCCATGTGATTGACGAATATTTGTATGTCTTTTTAGAATATTTAAGTGATCATTCAAATTCAACACTTTCTTAATAAAGGTATACATAATAAATTCGGCAAACGGTAAAAATGTTGAAAACTAATGAGTTAAAAATTTACATCATATCGAGAGTGTTCAATTTTAGAGGTATTCTGTAACTTGACCGGTAGCTTTAAAATTTCATAAGAGTTTGTGCATTTAAAATTTGAAATAACACATAAAGTTTTAAAACGCAGCATAACATATTAATATGAACTATACCTGTCGAGTTAGAACTGTTCATGTTATACTGATGATGGGCATGATGATGTGGATGGTGACCGTTAATTGATGATGGTGGGGGATGGTGGTGATATGCGGTGTGGTGAGCTGGTGGACTACTGTTCGGAGTCGGTGACAATGGCGGTCGTAAATATCCTGGCGTTCCAATAGCTAATGGCGGAGATGTGTCATACGTCGGCCTAGACATACAACCGTATGCGTCTCGTTGATCGCCAGTTATCGAATGATGTCCCGGCATAATGGACAGGGACAGCCCGTTCTCATTATTGCTGCTCGGCATGCCGAAGTTCATTGACATTGGCCTAAAAACAATTTTTTTTATTTAAATGCCAATCTTATATAAAATGAATTTCTAAATAAATATTATCGTTTGTTCGCTCAAGTACAAGTAGTAGTAGTAGTAGTCGGTTAGTTGACAATTTCTATAGATTGTACGATAGTATCATCATGTTTTCAGTTGGTTATTTCAGATAGATTAAATACAGAAACAAGTCGATTAAAAATATTTACAGGAAAACTTTAAGTCCCTCGGCACAACATTTAACAGATCGGCGTGTAAAATTATTCATGGCGTGTAGACAAAGAGGCATAAATATGACGATTTTTCATCAATGTACCTTTTTTACAGATACAGTGTTGGCGAAAAAATGCATTATTTATAAACTATTTTTGCATTATGCTATGGATTTTTTTTTATAATTTACATAAAAATTAGTTCATATTTGGTATCGAACATTTTTCAACGAGTATTTCTTTAGAAGCCATCTTACAGTTACATTTGACCTCTTCGGGATATCCTTTAATTCCGAGACTTTAAATATAAGGCAGCTATGGTATATTATGTACATTAGTGTAAAAGTAGTATATGAAAAATGTCGATGGGCTGCACTGGTTAACTGAAAATTGGTAAAGGGAATTCAGCAATACAGTTTATTATCTGAATGTGCAATGAACATTGATCTATTTTTAATGCTCTCGATCCACACTCGCGAAAAAAAATTCCAACTTTGAGTATTCAGTCTTAACAAACTCGAGACAACATTCATTCGGAAATATTTCTTACCCAAAAGCGTCGTGTCCGCCAATCGTGGTGTACATGTTAGGATTAGGTTCGGTGTTGTTGTTCGTTGTGAACCCGTTCATCCGACTAGGAGACGTTTGCTGCTGTTGCTGCTGTTGTTGATTCTGCGGGTCCATCGATTGTTGGTTTTGGTTGGAGTTGGGGCGACGTTGTGTCCGAAGCTTTTCTTCCCTTCGCCATTTAGCGCGACGGTTAGAAAACCAAACCTAGCAAATGCATAATAAAAAAAAATAAATAAACGCTGCTTCAAACGACTCGACAGAATATTAGTACAGTAATAGGACCGCATAAGTAACACTGTGGTTAAAATACCTGAATTCTGGCTTCGGGCAACCCAATTTTGCCGGCAAGTCTCTCTCTGGCAAACACGTCTGGATAGTGAGTCCGTTCGAATTCTACGAACACGCAAATATCGGTAAGACTATTGTTCCATTTTAACAACACGATTTATTTCTTACCTTTTTCNATCGAATTTTAACAACACAATTCATTGCTCACCTTTTTCCAGACTGTCTATTTGCTCGTTCGTAAATGACGTCCGGTTTCGCTGCAGTTTTCTTTTGAGTCTAAGTCTCGCCTGGTCGTCGTCGTTTGTTGATCCAGGAGCACATCCTCCCAGAGATCCGTCGTGATTGGAATTGTCACCAATGGAAGTACAAGTCTCGTCCGAACCCATTCCGCCGTCTAAATCTAAAACTATCCAATAAACTCCGGTAAGAACCCGTTGTGTTTTTTTAATTTGCGGGAAACGCATTGTTAGTACAACGATAGTCACATTGGGACGTGTACTGTTGAAAATTCTAGTGGCTACAAAATAGGCAGCAACTTTGTAATCATTTATTAAATAGAAATATTTTTCCAAGACGCCATCAGTCAACGCCTAACACAATGCCATCACGACGTTTTTATGTTTTATAAATCGTCATACGTTGCAGAGTACGATAAAACTTTAGGCGCGCAAATATTTCCTTCGATAAAATTTCAATTCGTCGCGTGTACTTAAATTTGCGTTACATTTGTTTTCATAGTTATCACACACATACGCTTAACGGAGCCCATAAAAAATGAATGTTTATTCGACCAATGTAAAATACACGGTTTGGGTTTAAAACATAAAATATGAAAACATTTGTACGGCCGTGGTGCGAATTGATGTCGGCAAAGTGAAAATTCTGACCCGTTGAATGTACCACATGCATATTAATATTATTATTATGTACAACAGCGACAGCCTTGTGCACATACAGCGGTATTAACTAAAACAATTTTAAAGGTCTGAGTTTATGACGTGAAAGATACCGCCATTCCCAGTCGTCATATCCATACACGTATACGTATGTTGTGTACACCAAAGGGATGATTATTACAGAAGCCGCGTAACCCCCTTCCGTAGCAGCACATGTGTATATGCGGGGCAGCCGCGACGTCGACTTTTGGGGTTCAAATTGCTCATTGGACCGCGCCGATCGACTGTGGGTCGGACCCGTTGGCAGCGAGAGGGGAAACGCGACAAGGGGTTCGTGTGCCGCCGCGTGTACACGCGGTGTTTTTTCGTCGATTTTTTTGTTCAAACGATGATGGTGCGACAAAACGGCCGGGAGGGTCGACGCTTTTAACGAAATATATTATTAAGTATTACGACCGTATGTATACCTAACGGGTGCGACATGGGCACCGCTAAACGGGCGTCGGCTGGTCGATGATAAAAAATAATAATCCCTCTCCGATAAATCGTGACGGGAAATCACGTTTTTCGTACTCGCGGCCGATCCAGAAACATTGTGCGCGATCCGAGTACCGATCGAACCGGCTTTTGGTATACAACACAAGCATTTCCGGAATAATTCATAAATTTCATCATATTTCGGGTGCGTGTCGCCCTGTACGCCTCCTCCGTCCGTTATCTTTGTAATTTTCGGACCGATAGCGTGTAGGTTTATCGCCTTCAGGGTACGAAAGCGCACGGGAGTAATGTGCATTGAGGACCGTGGCACGTCGGATAACGGCGGTAAAATGTGTGCCCGACAGGGAAAAGCCCAGCGCCGTTTATGGGCGCGATAAAGTGGCGGAGAGGTATGTGGCCGCGGACGGAGGGAAGGGATCAGTTGTCGGGCCAAAATCGTGAGACGACATTACGATAAACGCGAAGGGAAGGTGGCCGCGATAAGGAAACCCTGAGGGGAGGGAAGCGGCGGGGCTGTGCGGGTTGGAGGACACGGTGCGCACAGTGTTATCAGCAACTTTCTACTCCAACGGTCCGCATTCATCCGAACGAGCCTTTCTATGGTAAAATATACGGCGGCGGTTTCGGTCGTTATCACTCGCACACACACACACACACACACACTACTCGCGACTGCTGTTCGTATACACAAGTAAATGTAATGTGTACACGACGCGGTGGTGAATAAAAACTATACAACACAAGGTGTACGAACGTGACCGCCGCTATTACTCAACCGGCAGACGACGTTTTTGCTACTGGCCGCGCAATACCGTTTTCTTTATCGAGAAAAATAAATAAATCTCGTCGTTATCCGCCGCCGCCGCCTTTGCACGCCGACACGTGTAATAAATAACAGTAATGCGAACCTCATAAACGGCTAACAACCGTTGGAAAAAACGGCATTACGACAGTGATGGCCGAAAGCTGACAAAAAACGTTGTAAATATCGGAATTGTATTAAAAATAAAAATGGCACGCGGTTGCAGATTCTATACATTTTTTTGGTAAAGTTTCTTTTCCAACTCCATTGTTTCCCGATCGCAGCGATTCGAAAGTGAAAAAAGTTTTTCGGCACACGTTCAGCTCGCGTATGGAAAAATTGACGGGAAACGAGGCAAATTCATCGGCAACCAGACAAATTGAATAGTGTACGGTAAACGGCCGAGAAACAGACCTTTTTTTTTATTCTCGGCGGTTGGGGTCGAGAAATGAACCATTTTTTTTTACTCTCGGCACATGGCACACCGCTCGTAACTCTCGTCAATTCGACTTACGAGCACTCGGACACACTCTCGGCGAGTTCTAAATTCTAAACGCATAACAATAATATATTATTAGGCGCACGAACAATAACAGCGCGAGGGCCGGCGGTGGACACATAAAATCGTTACTAACGTGTACACGTTCAGACCAATGAGCCGTGTGCGGTTCTCGATTGGCTGAACACGTAGACGGCTAATACGATTTTGCAAATTATAACAATAATGTACACTTATGTCACGTTCGACTTGCAGCGGTACAACACATTGCGCCCGATCGACTCGACCGGTGCACGCGCGTTTCCGTCTACTTGAGTAATCAATCCGTTGCCAAAGGTGCCAAAGGCCATGCAGCGCGCGATTGATAGCGCCGGCCGAGTAAAGGTATCGTCACTCCCAGCGACACAAACATCGGCGGCAATTCGAAACGCTGCCCGAGGCGTACGGTAACAATATAAACGACGGGCTTTTGATAGTTTTTAATCGGATTACGACGTTTTCTCTCTCAGTCCGTCTGTCGGCACACAACAGTCGTCGCGCATTACAAAAAGCACGTCACAAACAGTCCCGTTAAATAACCGCAACAACGTTACCCTTTTCTGTGGCCGCGGGGGCCACCGGCCCGTAAAAGATTTTCCGGAGCTCAAAAACGAACGGCACGTAATTATTTTTAAACGAATTGTCAAATTCAGAGACGCGTATTATGAAGAGAGCTTTTTTTCGTGCGTCTGCTGATAGTTTCCTCCTCCTCCTCCTGTACGCCGCCCCTCTTATTATGTTAATATTACTTAGTTAAACTCAAACGAAATTGTGTGTTTGTGCAGTAGCTGCAACCGACGACTACGAAAATACTAATATTCGGATTGTTTTCTATTACAGAGTTTTTTTAATGACTTTTTCGCTTTTTGCGAGCGGTAACAACAATAAACCGTCTGTCTTTGGTATCGTGTTACGATAAATCGAAGAATGCGCGCAAGACTAATACGAATGGAACTCGCATTGTTCCGGTTTACAACTTTTACACAAAAAAAAATAATAATTATAATGAAAAACTTCCTTACTTTGCCGTAAACTTGTTCTATTTATTCGAGATTACTTTTTTTTTTTATGTTTATTTGTAGAATTCATTTTTTTTTTTTTAACTTTTAGAAATTCTTTATTTTTCAAGATATTTTAACATATTGCTGATTGGAAAAAAAAACGGTCGTATCCATACGTTTTAGAAATGGGCTTTCATTGATACGAGGAGATTATGTAAATGCCAGCAAGGAAAATTCGCGCACAAATTACACGGGTAGTATTATGTACACTCGGTCAGCCCATGTTTTTTGAAAATCACAACGACAACATGTGCTTATTATCCGTTACGGTTTGCTGTTTTTGGAAGTGGAAAAATTGACGAGAGTTGAAAAAAAAAATCACTCGCACTTGTGAATTTCATAAATATATAATTGCGAATTTAATCACACAATAGAGTACTACATTCGTTATTGCTAATTAAAAATAACTCGTTAGAATAACAAAAATTACATATAATAAATACGCGTAAAACCGTATTGTTAAATAAACTTTCAGAGTTTGGAAAGAAATTTCAAGTAGATTATATTTTGGCAGTTCATATGTTTGCCCAAAAAAATAATTTTGTAGGATCGTAACTGTCTTATAAACTTTTGAGATTGTGAGAAATTCATTTAAACGAATTTCGAAAAGGAAACGTATAAAACCGTAGAGCGTAATAAGAATTTGCTGTGGCGTTTGTTTACAAAAAAACACACTATCGCTGTTTACGCTTATGGGAAACGCAACAACAATATGCCGATCAGCACAACGGCTTTTTATGAGCGACGATAAAAATCTAAACGTTTTGCTCGACGAAACGTAATTCTTAGCGATTGCGCGAGTTGAATTTCAAAGGAACTTGCAGCCGATGTCTTTTCCGCGACACGGTTTTCTTTGGCGGTCCGTTTTTGCCCGCAACGAGTACGCGTCCCACTGATGTGGACGGACATTGCGCCGTGTCGCTCGGTACGCTTTGTCCCGGTGGGGTGTACGCTCGCGTATCTGCGTTGTTGTGTTTGCATTGGTGTTGCCGAGAAAGGTGTCATCGACAAAATCAGCTGCGCAACAGCCCGTCAGTCCAACACCGTTACACGCGGTAGTCCCACGCAGCAAATTATTCACGGTTAAACGGACGGGGGGCACGAGCGCGTGCAGTTACATGTGCCCCACACGTCTGATGCATCAAACATCACAATGCGCGCGTCGGTTGTACACGTTGCGACGGGACGTCGATAACGTACGCACGCGGCTGTGCTGCGCGAAAAGTGCATTTTCGTACCGAAAGGGGCAAACGCGTTTGTGCGGTCGTATTGCTTCCTATCGAATACAAGCGAACGAAACGGGGAAATTTCAGAAACCATATATTACTCTACTCGGCCTGTGTATTTCTTCGGCCTTTCTGCATTCCACCGGCGTTTATGTTTGTTCGGTATTTGCCTATATTGTGTCCCCGTTGAAAACCGGAATTCCGCGCCGTAGCAAAATTTAATATGGTTACCGCGTTCGCAACCGGAAAACCTTTTTCGTGGTATTGCCTCCCCGTTTCGTACACGTTCCTCTATCCAAATATTATAACCCTTCTTGGGTTTTTCTGTCTACAGTAATCCCTTTGACATAACGTTTTCTTGTTTCCAACCAACCCCCCGGGGGAGCGACGGAGAGGAGCGCGTCATTTAAAGGCGACGGAGAAAGAGAGAGTGCGAAATCCGGTTAGGAGTTTTATTTTATTTACGAGTTACTTTTTTTATTAATAAATTTTAACCAACCGTGTTTGCGAGAGCGCATCGACTAAAAAAATCCCATTTCGGCGCAGCACGCGGCAGCCCCTGTGCATAACATGTACACGCCGAAAGACTCCGCCCATCAAACAGCAAAACGACCACACTTAAATATTCCTATCGGCCGCCAGTACAAATCACGTTGTTACAGAAAATTATTAACTACACACGGTTTCAAAAAAACGGCTATGCTTAACGCGTGGATATGTACATTTATGTTAAGTAACATGACCCGAATGACGAAAAACCGTAGATAAAAAACCGACGGGGGGGTCGATAATATTTCGAATTGTTAATTAGAAAATATACGTACCTTTTTTATCGAGAATGTCAGGCAATACAGTGCAATTGCCAGTGTTTGGACTCAAACGACCGGATGGTTGCAGAGGCATGAACGGGTTGTCACCAGACGTCGGAGGGTACCTGTTTTAATAAAAAAACAAATGTGTGCGATTAGCAATGAAAACCATTTTGTGATAAATAAAAAAATATGAATCAATACATATAGTAATCGGTTCCCACGCACCATGGATTTGGTCTTGGCCACGTTCCTGTTCCAGCAGCTTGCCCGTTTAATAACCTCAACTTGTCGTAAACTGCATCCGCTGAACTGCAAGTTGGAGACACCGACGTTGGAGCTTGTTGGTCTTTTTGGGCGGCTAAGTTTCTCAAAACGCGATTGATGGACGAGACCTGAATTAATGAAATTATGCGTTTTTATAGGCAACTATGACTTTTCAAAAATAGGATTACAAGTTACAGCTATTTAGAAGAAAACGTCTAAATTAAGCTGAAGACTAATTATTATTTTTTATGATTACTACCGTTATCAATTGATATTTCTTATTAACAATTTACGCTATGAGAGTGTCATCAGCATAATTGAAACGAAACGGCGTATGACCTAAATGTCAAAATTATCGAATCGATTTTAAGTAGAATAAAATCGGCCGAGCAGTGTACTTATTAAGATTTGACTAACGAGCTGTATTGTACTCGAAACTCAAATGTTAACTAAAAAGAAAATTGATCGACGATTCAACTGCTAAGTAGGATAACAATTTATTTACAAAAGAAAAAATAGTAATAATTTCCAATCAATTTAATGTCGAAACTGGCGTCATCACCGTCGCCATTGTCTTCTCTCAGACACCGACCAATGTTTCACAGAATATTTTCACACTGCTGCAGAGACCCTATATATCATTTTTATTTTATTTTTTTTTTTTGTCTTTTGTTCCACTACCGCGAAGTAACCGCAAATTTCCGCCCGGAATATATTTCCTTCATTGCATGGCACTTGTTTTTGTGTGTGTGTGTCTTTCTTCTCTGCGTTTTCTTTAGTTTTTTATCACTCCAAAAACGTATACAGTGTCCGTTGCCTAAGTCTATACATGTATGTATGATCATGCATGTGTGTGTGCATTGTAAAAGACAGCACAGGCGTCAACGAGGGCTTTACTTGATGTGTCGCAAACGAATCCATAATGCATGAGTTTTGTTCGACTGTGATCATACCACCCAGCGCCCTCACTATATTTTTACCCCGAGGGTGTCCTAATGTCGTCGTATTTCCCTGTAGCGGCCGGAAAAACTTTGGGGTTTTTCACACTTTGATTACGGATTCTACCTATTCTCCTTACACCATCTCTCCCCCTTTGCCGCACAAACAAACCTACACAAAAGCTGTTGCACGGTGTAAATGTCGAAAAGATTCCCACATTCACTTGCGAACAACGACCGAGTACAAATTACCGCCTAATATTTTTCCTTGCACTTTTTATCCGTTTGTGAAATGAAGATGCTCTTATGTAAATAAAATCCAATGCATTCGACAGTTTCAAGTCGGCACATCGAATGTTTTGGACAACATTTAGAAATAATTTTGGCAGAACTAAATTTATCTACGAATTTGAATAACGACTCAATGAAAAATCACTCAGTCTCCCAGAGCCTGTTGTTAAGATGCATGTAACTAATGTAAAAACTTTTTACTATACGAACGAGCGAGATACGAAAAATAAAACTCCCAACTGGCGATGATTATTGTGCGACGGAATATATTTTTTATCGCGGGTCATTTAAATTTAACAGCAAACACTAAAATGAATGCATTAATGGGTTTCTAGAAAGTTAAAAGTAATTCGTCTTCACGACATGGATACACTTTGCTTGTTTTAAAACTTCCAAAAGTCTTTTGTTAAAACTAATACCACTAACTAAAATATAACCCTAAGTTTTGTTTCGCTTTGCATAAATAAAATTTTGTACAATCACAAATAAGCTAACAAATAATATTAGCATGAAATGTTTAAGTTTTTACATTCTTCGAGCCTTTTATGGCTTTATTGAGTTAAAGTACTAGTTCTAAATGATAAAAATTGTTGACGGAGAACAGTATACAGAGTGATGGGTTTATCATAATCCACTTGATTATTCGCAAAATGAACACAATATTAGAAAAACAAATTTCTTTTAGTTACATATAATTATCAGTAACTAATAATTATTTTTTTGAATCAACCTTTATAACTTGGTGTTAACTATACTTTTTTAAATGCCAATATACATATTTAACTAGTTTGTAGAATAGAGAATAATTTAATTAAGAAAATGACTAGTCGATAACCACTTTTGGATCATTATTATTAACACTTGTAAGCAATGACTGGAGGTGTGGAGTGGTGCTGCTACTTTCATTCTCGGGCGTACTGTTCGTGCCGCTTAGATATAAAAACCAGAATAACTTCTGAAGTCCAAAAGTTGATATCGACCAGTCGTTTTCTTAATTAGATTATTTTCTATTTAGCAAGAAGCTACTTAAATATGTATGTTGGCATTTAAAAAAATTAATTTGATACTTCTTTGAGCTATTGGTTTCAAAAAAAAAATAACTATCAGTTGATATATCAAGAAATATATGTAGCTAAAAGAAATCAACAATTTTTTTCCAACATTGTATTTATTTTGCGAGTAATCGAGTGGTTTATGATGAACCGATCACTCTGTATATATCGCGGTATTCTTTTACATAAAAAGAATCACGGATCGTCTAAATTTGTTAAATGTTGTTGACGTGGGTATGAAAGGTACCGATACAATCTAGTTAAATTCTTCAGCGCATTATACTTAAAAAATAGTATTATACGTATATACACTTTCTCGAATGGAAATTAAAAACATCATGCGATAGAACTGAATGAAAAGCGAGTTTTACACAGGAGGAAAAACAATAGCCCCTCTTTTTAAACGCTAAAAAAAAGACATTATCTCTCTTCGCCATCAACGGTACAAATGCAGCAGCAGACCTACAACAATGGACAAGCTGTGGAACAAATGACTCCCGGAGTTCGTCGGCATAAAAGACATTTGTAATTGCTCTCTCCACGCATCTATGTATGTTTTCGAACAGGGATATTATTATTTCACCTTATGTACATTTTCTATTATATACCAAAACCTTATGGATTCGAGCTGGTAATGTTGGCATGCGTACGCTGGTCTGCGTGTGTGAGAATGTATAGTTGGATCACGTCGGGGTGACTCCAGGATGTAGAAATGTCAAAATATTGTTCGATTCCCACAAATCGGGGGAAACAAGCAGAGGCGCATGCGGAACAATTAAAAACGTTTATCGAGGGAAACGAATGCGTGTAAATATAATAAAATAATAATAATAATAATATGACCGTTAATATTTATTAAAGAAACCCAGACACGAATCAAGGGAACGAAATTCACATTAAATCGCTAAATACGTGTGAATCCGACGAAATAATGGAAATCCCAACCAGTATGGGCTGACAAGGTACAACTGGAATTTTTATCCCGATGGTCACCTGAGATATGATGCGAGCAACGAAATTTCATTTTTTACGCACTAAAAGTTACTAGCACAACTCGAGAGATTTTGATTGAAGTTCATATGATTTTTATATAGACGAAAATTCTTGGCATAGTGAACTTTGTGGATTCAGTCTATTCGTATTGATTTCGACTATGAGCCACTCGTAATTTCAAAATTTTCCCTATTGTCTACCTCTTCACTAATGCTAATAAGTCTCAAATCTAATCCGCGTCTGCGAATGAAAGGCTAATTTGATATTATACGTTTGTGTGTCTACCTATTATGTCAGGCATGAGAATGCGAGTCTGTTCACGAGGAAAAAAGGTCTCTTTCGGTTTGAGTAGGCGTAAAACGGATTGTGCCACGACGTCTGGCGACTGCTGGCGCTGTTTAAAATGTGCCCTGGGGAGGCGATGTGTAGTGGCGGCCGTGACGTTAAGGCGGCATGACTGTTTGTTTGGGGAGCCGCTGAGGCGTGGAAAATATGCGCCCGCTCGCGCATCCCAAAATTTGTATATCCCCGAGGTCGTGATCACCAAAAGCCACGTTCGCCACCCTTTCTTAACGTTTTGAGTCACTGTGTTCTAAGGGGTTGAAACCACTGCAGCGTCTAGCGTGCATTTGTGTGACAAAGGATCATAAAAATATTTCAAAATATAATCTCATTTCACAACGACCTTTGGTGCTAAGATTCCAATAGCGTGTGCTTTTCATATTTCACAAAAGTCAGAGATGTTTACATGCAAGACACAGCACGTGAATTAANTAAAAGTCAGTGATGTTTACATGCAAGACACAGCACGTGAATTAAAATTAAGTACTTCCGGTATGGCCATTTCTAAGATATTCGAGCATTCTCGGCAAGTGTAAAAGAGCCACTAAAATTAAACTGATAATTATGCAACGAGGTTTCAAATTAACCGAAAAATAATTTGCGATCGCAAAATTAATTTAACCATCATATTCCTTTTTTTAATATTATTTCGATGTCCATTTTGATTAATTCTCATACCGATGAAAATTTGTCAATAGCAACGACGAGTTATTTTTGAAGATACACTGTTATTTTGGGTATATTAGTTATTTTTTTTTTGTTTTTACAAACAACGCGTTATCTCTAATAATTACTTTTTTTCTATCAGACACCGAATCGGCGGGTTTTTGAAAAATATACGACCATCGATGGAAACGGTGACGACGAGCTGTTGACACTGATTGGGAGAGGCGCGATTCGGTGATGCGTAAGAAATCTGATTTGGGTCTCCCTTTCCCCGAGGTCACCGTCGAGGCCGTGATCACACCCGCGCGCACGTCAATTCCCTTTCGTAATAAAGTAAAAAAAAAACACAGATTTACAACCGTAACATTTTTTAAATAGATTTTTGTTTTCAATTGCGGTTTTACGCACAAATGTCAATGTAATTTACAGGGATCGAAATTCATTCTTTGCTTCCTATTTGAAAACTTCTAATTCAAAAACAATTAGTCCAGTTTTACCGAAAAACAAGTTTTGTCAAAGAAATAAAAAATCTATCATCTCAAATGTTTAATATAAATGTATACACTTACGCTAGGTATATTATCGTTGGAACAGACGCCTTCTTGTAGCAACCGATCACGAATTTCCCATGCAAATATTGACGGGCATTCACGTTTATATTGGGAAATTTTTGATACTACTTCGGCGGTAGCTACTCTAGGCTTAGATCCACCAATTGCTCTAGGTCTGATAGAACCAGTCTCGTAGTACCTGGAAAGTATAGTTCAATACGATATGTTGTATAGTTTAATGTACTATATATATATAATTAGAATAAAATTAATTTAAACAANATGTAGTATATATATATAATTAGAATAAAATTAATTTAAACAAAATTAGACTAAAATAATATTTTTTAAACAAAGTAACAAAATAATACGAAAATTGAGATGATAAAAGTATTTTGTTCCGCGTGTATTTTTTCGTGTAATTATGTAGATTATACAAGATAATATTTTGAAATTAACTTCGTAATAAAACTATTGATATGTTTGCCGAAGTAAATACTTAAGCTTCATACTGACCTTCCTAAAATTTTTGAAACACATCCATTGGAAACTTGAAGAATCCTAGATATATCACAAGGTCTAGCTCCTGAATGAGCTAATTCGACTATTTTTTGTCTAGTGGAATCTGGCAATGGTCTACCACCAACAAACACTCCTCCCAACTGATTAACACCACTGTGTCCTATGATAATAAGATACAAATTAATCAAATAATCTTTGAACACACATACACAGTAAGCTCAGCTCTACCATAGGTAATTAGTTGGCAACACTGTACATGGGTGTATTTTTATAAATCGTTATAATATATGATAAAACAGAAGTGACCGTTATGTGAATTTAATAATTTTTTTTAGTCACAAAAATCGCAACCAAAATTTGTCACTTCTGTACAAATTTTTTCTCATAAATTATACGTTTTAATTAAATAGAATGGTCATTGTGTCAGTACCTAAATCTAATTCACGAGTTGCAATAATCCTATCATCATAATCAGCAGTGTTGCCAACTGAAATCAAAAATAATATAAACAATAGCAAAATTATACATTTAAAAACATTTAATGGTTAAGGATGCAGTAATAGACATTGTAGTTCGAAGGGTTTATCCAACTTGTAAGTAATGCAGAAATTTTTAATATACAAATCTCATAGACCATTTAATTTACTATTTTCTTTAATTAATTATGTCTAAATTTTAATTTAAATAACTGCTTATCACTTCCATACAAATACCATTGGATATTTCTTGTTCTCATCTCACAATGGTATAAAAATGTTGATAACTAAAAAATAGTCAAAACCAGTAACTCGCCAATATTTTACGTTTTTAAATTTTAATAACTTCTAAAATACCTGTTCAAATATTGAATCGGACATTTTCTTAATTAGATAATTTTCTATTTTATAAAATGGTTAAATATTTTGTTTAACTATTTTCTAAGAATAATAGCATTATTTAATTGTATTTTCCATAAAATAAGAATAAGAAAATATGACTTTATTACTTAGAACGTATTTTTATTAAATATCAGGAAATTTAAAACTCATGTTGAAACTAAAATAAGTAGGCTAAATTTCTTTGCTGGAATCTTTTTTAAGCAAGGAATCGAAATGAATCTAGTAAGTTAGTTGCTCTAAATTACTTGATCTTATTATTATTTTTATTCAAGAATTTATTAGGTTAATAATTGTATTTAAAATCCCCTGAAATAGCATTGGTTATAAGCTAATTTTTTACATTTAAATCCATTATAAGCCAAAAATAAATATTTTCGTATGCTTTAACAATATGAACAACATATTTTGTTGCGCAATTCAAGAATTTTG